AATACAGCTTTCGGGTAAATTTTTCATCTATGGGGCTGGGAGCTACGGCAAAAAAAAAAAAAAAAATAAGATTCGTTCCAGCAAACGGGAGTTACTACTACGTAAAAAACGCATGTCCCCAGGATACCTCTCCCCCCAAAAATTAAGACAGGGTACACTATGAGGAAGCCCGTTAAATATTTTGGTGGTTTTTTAAAGCCCCTGTAAATCGCCCACACCCCATCCCAGGGTCCAAGAGCAGCACCGAATTTTTATTCTCCGGGCCCAAGATCAAGACTAGCCAAGGGGAATGTTGCTGTTGAAGAAACTGCTACCACACATTCTCTCACCAAAATTTTTTCCGTGTTAGCAACAAGTCAGTGACCAAAACAAAAAATTTTCGGGCGACAAGTGAAGAAAAACTTCAGAAGAAGCTTTTTTGGGTTTCCTCATTTCAGAGGATGCAAAAGAAAGGGTTTTGGGGGGACGACCAAATAAATTTCTTCACATAAAGAGAGAGGGAAACAAATTTCTCAGCGAGGTAGCGAGATGAGAGGGACAATGTAAAAACACTAGAAACCGGGAAAAATCACATGGGAACTAGGTGGGTACTTCCGCAATTTTTTTCAGGATCAAATCCTCAAACTTTTTTTTCCCTATTACTCGTTTTTCCCCCTTCTGCCATAACCATTTTAAAAAACATGGCTGGAATTTTTTTTGGGCATGGTTAAGCTTTGAATTCTAGTCTGCTGCCTTAGTGAGAGAGATTCAAATCCGATTTAACTTCCCCACTCATTTTTTTTATTTCCGTTCACCTCGAAAAAAAGAGGAATACTCGCCTCTAATTTTTTTTTTCAAATTTAAAAAAAATTTTTTTTCCAAAGATCAGATAAAATGATTTTATTTTAAGTTACTTTTCGTAAATTTTTTTTATCTGATTTTTAAATAAAAAGAAGTGCTAAACCTACAAGGGTCAACACCGCAGTAGTTCAAAAGGTTCCTCCCTCGGACATTACGCTACAAAATGTGGGTAAAAGAATTAGTACAGTTTGTTAAATGAAATTTTTTAATTTCACACCACAAACTTCTGATGGGACAAAAAACGAGGGGTTCAATGGGGGCGTTGCTGGGGACCCCCCCATTGTGTTCACCTCGTCTTTTTTTTCGTCTTTTTTTTATTCTGAGCACCAGAACAACCAAGAGGGCTTCAAAAAATGCAACAATTTTTCCCCTTCTGTAGGGCAATTTTGAGGTGCAGAAGTGGGGAAAAAAAAACATCCAGAATCGTGTCATATTCACACAGTCTCTTGTTGGTCTTCCATACTTGGGCTGGGGAGGTGCTCTTGATCCGAGGGTTCGAAGCTACCCCTGTTCTTCCTCGGATCAAACCTGATTACCTCCGATTTCCCAGGTGCTGTAATTGTTATCCCTGAAACGAGGTTAAAAGGTTGGAAATCGCATCAAGTGGCATTTCATCGTTTATATCCAGAAGTATTCCAGTTAACCGCTTTGTGGCCTAGTTCCTAGGCCATTTGCATATCTTTATGCTTTTGCGCTACCCTCCACTGGATATCAGGTGCACAAACTAGCAACATAGTCTTCGAAATGTAATGTTTAATCATTTATTCACACAAGAAGCATATCCAAAGGCAGCAATAAGCACATCTACAAGGCAGATGATGGACCAGACCCATGGCTATCCAGTAGCAACACTGCAAGGAAACGAGGAGCCAGGGAACAAGGACGTGAGAGTAGTGCACTCTTTGTGGGTGAGTCAAAGCAATAAGGCCGGCAGATGTGTGTGTTGTAGCTATGTTGTTTGGCTAATCGCCAACGAAAAACCTTTATGGAGATCTTTGTCACGAGATGACCCATTCAGTGGTGCCGGCACTATGACGGTACTGGCCTCGATGGTGCGAGTCTGCCTTAGTGGATAGGGTGTGAAGGAATAAGACTTCAAAGGGGTAGGGCAGATAATACTAGCATTCCAGAGTAGGGCACTCCAGGACAGATACAGCCGGTGTAATTTATAGTGGGTACTTTATCTCCCTGAGACAGCAAATCTGCTGTCCTGGAAAGTCAAGAGGAACAGGTAGTCATACTGATCCACTGCTGGCGTGGGCAGCCGAAGTGATGGTCGAGCAGTTACGGGAGTAGATAGCTAGACTGATGACTTTCTGTATAATTTCCTATGGAGTGATTTGTAGACTAAATTGATCCCCACTTGATTACACAAAATATATATAAAATTTCAGGAAAATAGCTCTTTTCCTACCTAAGCTCATTTCATAGCCCAGATATACGTATCTCTAAGTACATAACCCCCATCCTTCCACACAATGACACCTACAACAGTTGATTAGCACGTAGGAATTAATTCACTTCTAAGTGAACACGAGCAGCATGATGCTGGCCTTATCCTTTCCACTAAATGTATATATGATGTGCCATCCAAAGCTGCAATCCTCAGTTAATAGTTAAATACAGTTCTGCTAGAGGGTAAACCATCATCCTGCCGTAGGTATGGACTGTTCGACAACCTCCTCGTCGTTCCTAATATAATTTCCCAGCTCAAACTGTCAAATTTCAGTATTTCATGGATGAAACTCGTCCTACATTATGGTATAATACAGGAAAACCACCCGGGATGAGTATAACGGGAAAATCATCCTGTATAATGTAGTATGATATGAAAACCATTCAGCATGAAGTATGAGAGGAAAGCAACTGTCTTGTATAATGGGTGTGTTAGGTAAACATGGTTCCTGGGCTAACCTTGTAATATGCTGAGTCACGGTGACTTCATAATTTACCTGTGACCAATTTTGAGAGTTTTCCAACTCTCGAGTCCCGGCCTGGTGACCTTATAAATTCAATATATATTTATATATATATATATATATATATATATATACACATATATAATTATATATATATATATATATAATATATATACATATATATATATTATATAATATATATATATATATACACACGCTGTATTTGTAGGGGTCATACAGCAGCTGGGGAATGGGAGGTAAACAGGTCTGATTCGAGGAAAGGGAAGGGGTGGTTCCAGTTCCTTGGATCCAGAGCCCTTCACCGACATCAACGAAAGTCCTTCATGAAATAGATTCGTCAGATAAAATTTCAGTTCCTCGCTCCCTGATGAGTGCAGTGTGGCAGCGTGTCTTGTCATTATATAAACTCCACTCTTCTCCCCCCCCCCCAAAAAAAAAAAACACGGGTTAGGGCTCTACGGGAAGCGAAACACCAGCTTCTATGACTAGATTCCGAGACACAGAATTCGTTGTGGTCAAAAACACCCGAGAAAACCCTCAGGAGATTTTAGCCTGGAAGCTCCTCGGTGTTGACAAATACTTATATTCCTTAACACTAGTTATAGTTTACACCATATAGAATTCAACTACAGAAATGAGAGGAAGAAGTGAAACATCCCAGACTAGGCCTGGTTGAGAGGTCCAGGACTAGGCCTAGTTAAGGAGTCCCAGACTAGGCCTCCTGGTTCAGAACCCTCATGACACATACGAAAAATTGGAACTAAGAAAAGATGTTCCTCATGATAAGAGGACTTAGACACAAACCTTATAATGAGAGGCATATCAAAGGGGGCTCAGGAGACACACATCATCCTTATCAAGGAATTTGATAACATTCGTAGGACTAACCTTCACTGGGCTGATATGATGTGGATGTTTGGTTGTGGATGAGTGGAACAAACTCCCAAGTACCGTCGTAGAAGCTAGGACGTTGTGTAGATTTAAAAATAGGTTAGATAAATACATGAGTGGGTGTGGGTGGGTGTGATTTGGACCTGACTAGCTTGTGCTAATAGGTCTGATGCTGTGCCCCTTCCTTAAGTGGATGTGACCTGACTTGATTAGGTGGGTCATTGGTTTAAGCCGGGACGTGACTTGGACCTGCCTCGCATGGGCCAGTAAGCCTGCTGCAGTGTTCCTTCTTTCTTATGCTTATACTCCCATGAAAATAATGAGATTTAATAGTATAATACAGGATAGATAAAAGATAATAGGGAATAAGTAATAGAGTACAAAGTACATATTAAACGGACGATAATGAGAAATAATAGACTATACCTGGAGAGGGTTCCGGGGGTCAACGCCCCCTCGGCCTGGTCTGAGACCAGGCCTCGTGGTGGATCAGGGTCTGATCAACCAGGCTGTTACCTATATATTGAATTAAAACGTATAAACATATTTTTCACTGCAGGCGGTCTAATCTCAACAGTCTGACTAGTCAGAGACCGGACTGTCATAAGCGAACGGAGGACCGACACCTCGATGGCACCATGTACTGAATAACCCGCAAGGCTTTAACGCTTCATAGTTTCGTTTCTTAACTGAGGTGAGAAACACGAGACACTAATCATATAGACATGTATAATAACCTTGACATACAGATTGTAATGTATCTCTTGATGTAAACTCGCGTGGGTCATTGAACGCAAGAAGGTGTCTAGGCTCGATCATTCGTTTGCTTAGAGATAGATACACTTGCAATCTGGTTGTGCTCTCCTAGCTGACTGAAGAGTTTGGTAAACTATTGTTTTCATTCAAATACTTAAAAAAAAGCACAGTGTACTGACGACCCGTCTGTCATTAATATATTAATGACATTAACTCAAGAGAGTACCAGAAACAAAAGACAGTAACAGCAGAAAGTCCAGTGTTACACAGTAACAGCAGAAAGTCCAGTGTTACACAGTAACAGCAGAAAGTCCAGTGTTACACGGTAACAGCAGAAAGTCCAGTGTTACACAGTAACAGCAGAAAGTCCAGTGTTACACAGTAACAGCAGAAAGTCCAGTGTTACACAGTAACAGCAGAAAGTCCAGTGTTACACAGTAACAGCAGAAAGTCGAGAATGAAAGATAGTCAGGTATGACCCAAAGAAGGGAATGCAGGTTCATTTTTTTTGTATCAAGAGCCCCTCGTTAGCATCAAGGAACCTTCCCTTAGGATAGAAGCGTATAAACTCACCTGTTTGGTAATGGCCTGCGCCTTGTCATATCTAGGTGACCTAAGACGTGTATGTGACCCGTAATGATCTGTCTTGACCACGTGAGGCTTCACATCTGTGCTATATTCTCGCTGCAACAGGTCCACACGCTCTGATGACACCGACACACCATTCTCTGCATTTTCATTTGGCGCCATAATGTTTTATCTCTTGTAACACTACACGTGCTCACACAGGCACTTAATATTATTGCTCTTCTCTGACTAGATTTACTAGCTACGTTACTAACTACTCGAGAGATCTAGGTGATGTTGCAGGATTCAATGAGATACAGTGAATACTTCTGTCAGTAGTGAACATAAGAGACGAGGAGGCACAACTCCAACGCCAGCCAGACCACTACTGCCTCTCAGCCACTCGCCCTATACCTCAATATCTTCTCCCTGTCACACTCCTCCTCCTCCTCCCTCCCTTAAGGGGAAGGGGGGGGGGCTTGAAATTGGTAATGGGTTCTTGATCCAAAGCGGTAATTTCAATGGTTCTTAAAGAATGCACAGAGAATCTTAGGGATCATCAGTTAGGTAGGTCATGTTATATACACCCATTCTCACTTCTCCTTTACTCATCAGCACCATTCTCTTTGTACTTAATTAATCCTCCTAAACTACCACATACAATCACTTCTCTAATAATATTAATGCCCAGAAGTCTATCACTGAACCTTTCATTCATTAATAACAGTGTAGCAAGCTGTTCTTGTTACGAACTCCTTCATTCATTAATAACAGTGTAGCAAGCTGTTCTTGTTACGAACTTCTTCATTCATTAATAACAGTGTAGCAAGCTGTTCTTGTTACGAACTTCCTTCATTCATTAATAACAGTGTAGCAGGCTGTTCTTGTTACGAACTCCTTCATTCATTAATAACAGTGTAGCAGGCTGTTCTTGTTACGAACTCCTTCATTCATTAATAACAGTGTAGCATGCTGTTCTTGTTACGAACTCCTTCATTCATTAATAACAGTGTAGCAAGCTGTTCTTGTTACGAACTCCTTCATTCATTAATAACAGTGTAGCAAGCTGTTCTTGTTACGAACTCCTTCATGCTTCACATACCTTGATATATTCTTCTATGGTCTTTAAAAAATGTCTTTCTAAACAATTAAATTAATAAGCTATAATATAATTTACTGGAACCCCAAATTTTTCTTATATGGTCTCTACATTTTCCTTCGTTTTAGCATTGTCTTTCACAACAATTATGTAAGAGATGTTTCGCTCACCAGGAGTCAAATGAGAGAAACATTTAAAAAAACAACTGATCATGTGCTGCAGGTGTCTTTAAATATTTCTGGATACTAGTTACGCCTTGGTTATTTTTTCACGTGATCCACAGTTTTTTTTATTCATTCACTTAAGACTTTTCAAAATAACTTTACGAGTGTAACTAGACATAAATGCAAAAATAGTTCGTTATCACTGTATTTGAATAGCTATCAAGCCTTTGAGGCCCAATCCCTGGACCCATTATGTGCCATAGTAATCTTGTGACTGTTGTCTAGGCCTGGTCACAGATCGGGCCACGGGGGCGTCGACCCCTGAAACACGCTTCAGGTATACTGCCCACATGATGTGTATCGTACATAATAAAGCTATTAACTCTTTTTCTCTTTTTCCTTTCATGGAATCCTTCTTAAATAGGTCAATAAGTGCATGATAGAGATGAACTGGCAAGGGCGTACATACGCCTTAGAGAAAGTATATTATAACTATGGGTTGTCAGGTGGTAGTAGTTTGAGGTCAAGTCCAGAACGGATCGAAGCATTATTATTATTATTAATAAATTCTTTTCCCTTCCAAATTTTCGATTTTTATTTCCTTCCACTCGAGAACGCCTCATATAATCGGCTTCAAATTTTCAACACATGTACGGTAACGAGGACCAAATTCTTGAAAGAACTGGCATGTCCACGTGCCCTATAACCAAAGCTGCTGAACCCATTCCCAGCATCCTGGAAAGGCTCGGATAACTTCCCTAATCCTCAGTGGTGTAGTTACAAACATTAAACAAGGAGCCTCGTAATTCATCATCGGCGAGGACGTCAGTGTTGGTGCAGATTTGACCAATTTGTGTAAAACTCTGATTCCCGTTTACCACGATAGAAATAAATGCGTCTGTCTCTTCTGAATGGTTTCAGTATTTAATGGGTAATGAATCTTACGGCCATTATTATTTTCATTATCATGTGGGAGCGCTAAACCCGTAGGGATTACACGACGCTTGTTGGGAGGGGGGGGGGCTGGAAGGCATTCAGACTTAATTCAAGGAATTGGTCACAGATCCAATTCCCTAGAGCCCCTCACCATCATCAAGGTACCCCACTTGAAGGGACAACTTACGGCCGAAATAGGACATATTTACCAATTTATCAAATTTTTCAATGTGATGTTCTTTTTTTAACTTTGGAGACGTAATAATTGTCATCATCACGAACCATCTATAAACACAATCATTTTTTTTATAGGATTATAGACAATTTTAAAACTAATACAACCGCAATAATAAAAAAAAAGACACTTTGGTATTAAACTGATTCTTAGGTATTAAAGTGATAGCCAGGTAATGGTATCCCGTATAAATTTAATACCCGGGTCCCGAATTTTGGGACTCGGGTACAAATGCACAGGATTATTATTATAATCACAACTGAGCGCTAAACCCATGAGGGTCATACAGGGCTAACAAATGCACAGGAATACATTCCCATAAACATAAGAACATAAAGAAGGAACACGGCAGCAGGCCTACTGGCCCATGCGAGGCAGGTCCAATTCTCCTACCGGCTTAAGCCAATGCCCCAACCTAGTCAGGTCAGGTCACATTCACTTAAGGAAGGAGCACGGCATCTGACCTAATAGCACAAGCTAGTCAGGTCCAACTCACACTTACCCGCACCCACTCATGCATTTATCTTACCTGTCTAATATTCACACACTTGTAAATATGGCAGCATTAGAATTAATTTTATGACCGCCACACATTATTCTCTTTGCCTGCACGGTAGAAGAGCTGGACTTGCGGGATTCAGGATACCTTTCTCGAACCACTGAGGTAGAGAGGGCTGGGCTTGTGATACTGGGATATTTTTCGCGAATCATTGACGCAGAAGGGCGCTTGACTTATGTAATACAAGGTTATCTTTTCTCGGGTCATTGAGATAGAGGATGGATTTGATACAGGGATACCTTTCTTGGATCATTGAGATAGAAGATGGATTTTATACAGGGATACCTTTCTTGGATCATTGAGATAGAGGATGCATTTGATACAGGGATACCTTTCTTGGATCATTGAGAGAGAGGCTGGATTTGATACAGGGATACCTTTCTTGGATCATTGAGATAGAGGATGGATTTGATACAGGGATACCTTTCTTGGATCATTGAGAGAGAGGCTGGATTTGATACAGGGATACCTTTCTTGGATCATTAATGTAGAGGCTGAGTTTGAGATAAAGGGATACCTTTCTCGGGTGATTGAGGTAGAGGGGGCTGAAATCAGGAGATACAGGGATACCTTTCTCAGATGATTGAGGTAGAGGGGGCTGAAGTCAGGAGATACGGGGATACATTTCTCGGATTATTAATGTAGAGGCTGAGTTTGAGATAAAGGGATACCTTTCTCGGGTGATTGAGGTAGAGGGGGCTGAAGTCAGGAGATACAGGGATACCTTTCTTGGATCATTAAGGTAGAGGGGGCTGAAGTCAAGAGATACAGGGATAACTTTCTCAGATCACCGAGGTAGAAGGGACCGTTCTCTTGAGGGATACCTTTGTCGGATGGCGCAGCAACTGAAATACGTCATCATACGCATACGTAGTTTCTGGTCCCCGTTGATAACATTTATTAACTTCGTACGTAGCTTAAATTTTCCTTTAGTACCACAGATGGCTGTTAAGATGGCGTTGTAACTAAGAGTCCACGTATACGTGCGGCCCCATAAAGGATTTCGATATTCCCTTAACTCAGGGCACAAACACCGTCAAGGTTGCCTGCTTGCTGGCATCTATACTCATTTGCTGCGTCTTAAAATTGCTCTCACGCCTCTGTCTGTTGCCAAAGTCCATTCGTTGTTGTTGTCAGTAATGTATATATGTACTGTATATATATGTTCGTATTCTTAATTATTATTATAATCACGGGGGAGCGCTAAACCCGTGGAGATTATGCAGCGCCTGTGGCGAGAGGGGTTGATGGAAAATATTCAGGCTTAGTTCAGGGAACTGGAGCACAGGTTCAGTTCTCTAGATCAAGAGCCCCTCACCAGAGTCAGAGGGGCCCGAATTCTTGAAATGGAGAGTCATTTTGTAGTTTACGTCACGTCAGAGTTGGGTGGTTTCTCACCAATAAAGTTAATTTTAAGCCTGCCCATAATACTCTGCATACAAGGGGCTTTGGCCTGTTGCACTTTAATAACTGTATTCCTTTGTACTTCTCTGTATCATGTTCAAATTAATAAATAAATAAATAAATAAATAAATATGATGATGCCCCGAGATAGACCGAAATTTAAAAATGCTTCTGCCTTAAATTTCCGTATGTTTCTTTGTGTGTTTTGCTGTATATTGCCAGCTATATCTGCTGTCTATATATACGTAATTGTTAGGTCATCAGTTTCAAACCTGTTCATTCTGTGGCTGCGTGTGGCATAGTATTATAATCAAAATTTTGCTCTAAACCCACAAGGGTCATACAGATGCTGAAGGGCCGGATGTGCTAAAGATAAAATATGTGATAGTGTGAGGGAAAAGCCGGTATTAAGTGGGATTATGGTTGTTCAGACATCAAGGAACCATCAGCGTGTTACAGCCTGCACTTCCATCTAGCGGGCCGAGGCGAAACTCCAGTTCCTGGTGTCAGATAAGATAAGATAAGATTTCGTTCGGATTTTTAACCCCGGAGGGTTAGCCACCCAGGATAACCCAAGAAAGTCAGTGCGTCATCGAGGACTGTCTAACTTATTTCCATTGGGGTCCTTAATCTTGTCCCCCAGGATGCGACTCACACCAGTCGACTAACACCTAGGTACCTATTTGCTGCTAGGTGAACAGGACAACAGGTGTAAGGAAACGTGTCGAAATGTTTCCACCCGCCGGGAATCGAACCCGGGCCCTCCGTGTGTGAAGCGGGAGCTTTAGCCACCAGGCCACCGGGCCTTAATAAGATTAATTCTTTAATGTCTGATGTGCTTTAATAAGGTTAATACTACTGCTGGTAATATTAACCTTACCTGGTGTGGGTTGAAGTTTGGAGAGTCACGTTACCTCCACCATGCACAGCCCTTCTAGGGTAGGGTAGGTGCCTACCCCGGTGGCCTGGTGGCTAAAGCTCCCGCTTCACACACGGAGGGCCCGGGT